GAGGGTACAGGTATCGGGTAAATACAGCCATTCCAAATGGGAGAAATTGGCCAAAACAAAGGGGTTACAGGGCCCATGCAAGTCCAAAATCCAGCAGGGCAGTAACATTTTAAAGCTCCAAAATGATCTCCTTTGACTCCAGGTCTCACATTCAGGTCACACTGATGCAAGAGGTGGGTTCTCATGGTCTTGGACAGCTCTGGCCCTGTGGCTTTCAGGGTACAGCCTCCATCCTGGCTGCTTTCATGGGCTAATGTTGAGTGTCTGCAGCTTTTCCAGTCACTTGGTACAAGCTGTAAGTTGATCTGCCATTCTGGGGTCTGGAGGATGGTGGTCCTCTTCTCACAGCTCCACTAGGCGGTGTCCCAGTAGGGACTCTGTGTGGGGGCTCCAACCCCACATTTCCCTTCTGCACTGCCCTAGAAGAGGTTCTCCATGACAGCCCTGCCCCTGCAGCAAACTTCTGCCTGGACATCCGGGCATTTCCATGTGTCTTCTGAAATCTAGGCAGAGGTTCCCAAACCCCAATTCTTGACTTTTGTGCACCTGCACGCTCAGCATCACATGGAAGTTGCCAAGGCTTAAGGCTTTCACCCTCTGAAGCCATGGCCCGAGCTTTATGTTGGCCTCTTTCAGTCATGGCTGGAGTGGCTAGGAAACAGGGCACCAAGTCCTTAGACTGCACACAGCACAAGGACCCTGGGCCCTGCACACGAAACCATTTTTTCCTCCTAGATCTCCAGGTTTGCCATAGGAGAGGCTGCCACAAACATCTCTGACGTGCCCTGGAGACATTTTTCCCATTGTTTTGGAAATTAACATTCAGCTTCTTGTGACTTACGCAAATATCTACAGCCAGCTTGAATTTCTCCTCAGAAAATGGGATTTTTTTTATCGCATTGTCAAGCTGCTAATTTTCTGAACTTTAATGCTCTGCTTCCCTTTTAAAACTGAATGCCTTTAATAACACTTGAGTCACCTCTAGAATGCTTTGCTGCTTAGAAATTTCTTCCACCAGATACCCTAAATCATCTCTCTCAAGTTCAAAGTTCCACAAATCTCCAGGGCAGGGGCAAAATGCCACCAGTCTCTTTGCTAAAACATAACAAGAGTCACCTTTGCTCCAGTTCTCAATAGGTTCCTCATCTCCACCTGAGACCACCTCAGCCTAGATTTCATTGTCCATATAATTATCAGTATTTTTGTCAAAGCCATTCAACAAGTCTTGAGGAAGTTGCAAACTTTCCTATTTTCCTGTCTTCTTCTGAGCCCTCCAAACTGTTTCAATCTCTGCCTGTTACCAAGTTCCAAAGTTGCTTCCACATTTCCCAGTATCTTTTCAGCAACACCCTACTCTACTGGTACCAATTTACTGTATTAGTTCATTTTCACGCTGCTGATAAAGACTTACCTGAGACTGGGAAGAAAAAGAGGTTTAATTGGACTTACAGTTCCACATGGCTGGGGAGGCCTCAGAAACATGGCAGGAGGTGAAAGGCACATCTTACATGCTGGCCGCAAGAGAAAATGAGTAAGACGCAAAAGCAGAAACCTCTGATAAAACCACCAGGTCTCGTGAGAGTTATTCACTACCATGAGAACAGTATGAGGGAAACTGCCCCCATGATTCAGATTATTTCCCACTGGGTCCCTCCCACAACATGTGGGAATTATGAGAGTACAATTCAAGATGAGATTTGGGTGGGGACACAGAGCCAAACCATATTAGGTTGTTTGGGTTTCCACATTTTAACTCTATGTATAATGCTGCACCCAAGATAACTCCTCCATTCCATGAATGGGGGCTATGCATCAAGAGAACTTTAACAAAGAAAGCAAACTCATTTTTGAATTTTAAGATCACTCTGGCATTCTGTTTTGAGGTCTGCTAAATTTGCAATGCTGGGTGAAGATGACTTCACAATAAAACCAATGTTGAAAGACACCAAGAGACTGTAACTAGTTGAAATTTCATTTTTCCTTTATAATTTATTTGCCACAATTTTAAATACTGTAGACCATACAGAATGTTTTTTTCTGCCCAAAAATGGGGGTCTGTTAACAGACTCAGTCCCAACCTCGTTCAGGACAAGCTTGCGTCGTTCAGAAGTAGATCACAGAGCAGGTTGCACCCATGCCTTTGCCAGCATAAAGAAGTTGACTCTTTGGGGGTATCAAGGCTCCTCTCATGTTCTGTCACATTAAGGCAAAAACTGAGAGACCATAGCAAGGGCCCCTATCTAGACAAAACCTGATCATCTTATCTTGGACAAATTTCTCTTTCTATAGCTTGTGGTAGACAAAATGTGCCCATCAAAGATGTCAACACCCAAATACCTGCAACCTTTGAATATATTATATAGGAAAAGGGACTTTACAGCTATAATTAAGATTATAGATTTTTAAAATAGGAAGATTACCCTGGATATCTGGGTGGGTCCGATCTAACCACATGAGATCTTAAAAGCAGTGAACTCTCGCTAGGGCAAGAAAGATATGGCAGAAGGGGAATTCAGAGAGATTGAAAGCATGAGATTCATCTACCAATGCTGAAGAGGCCCACAGGGGAATTCAGAGATTGAAAGCATGAGATTCATCTACTAATGCTGAAGAGGGCCACACAGAAAGTGTGAGAAGGAATGTGGGCAGATTGTAGAAACAAAGACTAGCCCACAGCTAACAGCCAGCAAGGAAATGGGGAACTCAGTCCTACAACTGCAAGGAACTGAACTGAAATCTACCACCAACCTAAATGAAGTTGAAAGAACTCTTATCTAGGGACTTCCCCTTACAGTCTCTAGCTAAGAGCCCAGCTCAGTTGACAATCTGATTTCAGCCTTGTGAGGCTTTAAGCAGGGGACCCAGTTGAACTATATTGTACCTAGATTTCTGTGCCATGGAACTGTGAGATAATAAATGGGTGTTGTTTTAAGCTACTAAGTTTGTAGTAATTTGATCTAGCAGTAATAGAAAATTAGTATGTAAGCCTTTTTTTTTTTTTAAAAAAAAAGCAGAATTTGCAAGCAAATGTGACTTTGAGCATAATTCTTTTTCTTCATTGCAAATATGTGATGTAGGAGTCTTTGAGTTATTTGCTTGAGAATAACAGTGATAAACTATACTTCTATCTGTGCTCCTCAGTATTTGGTTGCATTAATTGGAAGACTGAGGTTCTACTTAGGGGATTTTTTCCTCCAAGTCCTTCTAGAATACCCTAGAATGGAGAATGAATTTTAGGAGATCAGGACTGCGGCATGAAGATGAATTATCAAGCTACTGTACTAATCCAGCTGAGGGATGATAGGACAGGGTTAGCTGGTATGGAAGAGTCAGACTGGAGAGGGGGACATTTATGTTGACTCCTAATAGTTCAAGAATGGCTTACTAGATGGACAGTGGGGTGGTAAGGAGGAGGTAAATGGATATTGAAAACTGAAGCTCTGCTGATTCTCAAATTAGTCACTCCCATTTGGGAATTAACATGTAAGTTGATAAAATCATGTCAGTGGAGATTACCCAGGAGATACTTATGGATTTGTTTTAAAATATAAAACATAAAAGGAGGAATGAGGAAGTATTACATACAGCGATTAATAGAGAGGAGATTCTGTTGCTTGGGACTGGAGAGAGAAAAATGAAGAGGCTTAGAAAAGATGAGAAAGATGTTGGCTAAATTAGATTTGATACATCGCAAATGAACTTAAAAAAGTGGTATATGGTCTCTTTTTGTATTAGTCAATTTTCACACTGCTATAAAGAACTACCTGAGACTGGGTAGTTTATGAAGAAAAGAGGTTTAACTGACTCACAGTTCTACACGGTGGGAGAGGCCTCAGGAAACGTACAATTATGGTAGAAAGCAAAGAAGCAGCAAGGACCTTCTTCATAAGACAGCAGGAGGTGGGGAGGAAGTGCCACACTTTTAAACCATCAGATCTCTTAAGAACTCACCATCACGAGAACAGCATGGGGGCAATCACTCCCATGATCCAATCACCTCCCACCAGGACCCTCCCTCGACATGTGGGAATTACAATTTGAGATGAGATTTGGGTGAGGACACAGAGCCAAATCACCTCACCCTTAGATGGAAATAAAATAAGTAGTGGGAAGGCATGAAGCTAGAAAAAGTTCTTGTTAGCTACCAGCGAACACTGCCAGTCCAGGACAGCTAGATTCTTGTCTTTGTGAATAATGATGATGGTGGAATTGGCTACAGAAGACAGAGGCACAGGGAAAAGTGATAGTGTTCAAACCAGCTATGTGCACAGAGGAAGCTTCACAAGCTGGTGTCTGTAGTTTGGGGAATATTAATATTGTGTTCCTCTTGGGTATATTATTCATTCAGTAAAAATTTAGCTATTTATAAAATCATTTACAGAGAAATTGGAGATTCTTTCAATCTCCTATTTCTGTGAAAACATTGCAGTTGTACTAAGACTGAAAAATCCTAGTTAGCTTATACAGGAGCTACCTATGCATTGAACAGTTTCCTCATGAAAAGCTCACAATGACTATTCTTGATACCCTCTGCTGATCTGAATCTGTGAAAGTATTTGACAGTTGCACAAAGCAGCAGAGAGAGAAAATAAGTTGCCCACACACAAGAACCTAAGAGGGCTCCCTGCTGAACCACCAGTTGTGGAGAAAGTAGCCAACCAGGGGAAGAACCATTCAGGACAGAATGTTCCTCATTTTTTCCAGCTGATTTAGATGGACTAAAAAAGAATTAAAATTCAATCCATTCCAAAGCACCAAATAATAATTTTAGGAACTATGTGGAACTAGATGCTATACTTTCACTCCCTTTCCTAACGTCTTTGTTTTTGGCTAAGAATAAAAACAGCTGTCAAGGTTCCCTCTCTCAAGCTCTGTTAACACACCTAGTCCAAAGGCGCATGTGTGTCATGTCTCTAATATATTTTATTGCTGTCTTTTAAAATTCCCCTTAAGACGCTGGCCCAATATTGTTGCATTCAACCACATTTCTATCACAAGGATTAAAAAGAACTTAAGTATAATTTTATTCTATTCTGCATCAGTGCCATATACACACAAAAAAATGTTTAGATAAGTTAATAAGTTATAACATTCTATGTTTTAATATTAATAACAAGGACATAAATGATCATTTCCTGAGTTAACAGTGCAATGTAAAATTTAATCTGTATTGCTAATAAGACATTTTACAGCATAGAAACATGATCGAAGTGATCATTTACTTTATCATGTCATAAAACACAAGTGCTTATTGTAGAACAGTGATATAATTTAAATGGCAAGGAAATTTGTGATTCATAACAAAGAATCCTGTATGTTTTTGTTGCCATGATTAACTGTCCAGGTCAAATATCAGTAGTAAAATAAGTTATGGTACAAAAGAAAGCCAAGAAGTTAGAAGGAACATTTGATTTCATTTAAGAAACTGAAGCCTGGATTCTAGTTAACCTTTCATTATGTACAAAAATGTTCTCTTAAAAAACCCTAAGCAATCACAAATTTAGATAAACTAGTTGAATAAAGGACAATGACAGCTCTTCATTATGCTGTAAAACTATGGATCTCATTTTTGGAAAAGTTGAGATCCTGCAGCAACCTGAAAAACAAACAAAAAGCACATGTTTCTAAGGGAAAATGTTTTAAAATGAAGGAATAAGAGCAGCTTACTACCATAATCATGATACTTTTTCATTCTCCCCATTTACTATGCAGTTTTGTTTAATAAAAAAACACTATCACTTCTTAAAAAATTAGTGATTAGTAACTCCTAAATATCATGAAATATCTAAGCAGTGCTCAAATTTTCAACTATATCATAAATGCCATAATTTTAAAAAATAGTTTCAATCAAGACCCAATTAAAATTTACTCATTATGATTGGCTCATAAGTCTTTCAGGCATCTTTTGATCTACAAGATCCCCCAGATCCCCACTCCATCCTGCAATTTATTTGTTGACAAAAATCAGATTTTTATTTGTTGAGTCTCCTAAAACCTTCATTTTTCTACATCCCTGTGGTATTGCTTAATAATATGTATCTACGTCCTCATATTTTCCATAACTTAATAAATGGATCTAGAGGCTTGATCAGACACAGGTTCAAATCTTTTTGACAAGACTATTTCATAGGTAATGTTCCTCTATCTGGAGGCATGTAATAAATGGTTGCCTCTCTTTTTGGATGCTAGGTACCATTATGATCTATGTATAGATCCATTAGTTAATTAAGCACTGCAATTGGTGATATTCTACTTCTATCATTCTTTATTCATTAATCAGCTGAGGAATCCTATAAAGAAAAATGTCTGCTGATTTATTATGTGGTTATTCAGTAGTATGGCTCATATAGCAAAGGGAGCATAAATGTTTGATTTTTTCCCCCTTTATTCACCAGTTTTCAAAGAAAGGAATTGATTCCCCTACTATTCTATCTTCATTCTCCCCCTACTGAACAGGAAAAGTAGAAATATTGCATATTATTCAACTAGGAAAATAGTACAATAACTACTTTTTTACCAATTACTCTATTATATGTAGTCACTTTGCTAGGCACTTCACATACTTATGTATTATTATTTATTCATTTTTACAGACAAGTGCACTAAAACTTAGAAAGGTTAAGAACTGCCCTAGGACACCCAGCAAATGATTGTAAGATGCCTGTAAGTGGTAGACCTGGGATTTAAACTCCAGCTGGCAGCTCCCAGAGGGGATACACATACTCACACAAAGGGCCAGTAGGGCACAGGAGTTGAGGCCAACACAATGCAGCAGTAAAGCCTCTCAGTGTCTGGGCCCATGCTACCATTCTGTCCTGTTCTGCCAGGCAAGCAGCCTCACCCGAGCCAAACCAGTCTAGGCGTTTGTATCAATCTGCACCCCTAATGCATCTGCTAGTTCTCTCTGCCTGTACTATCCCCTTCTCCATCTCTCTTGACTGCTAGATTTTAGTCCACATGCAGTGCACATGACTTTTTTGACCATGCAGCTCCTGTCTCTCCAACACACACATTGCTAGGTAAAAGTAACCCATCTCTCCCAGAATTCCCATTACATCTTGATTTTTGTCTCTAGTAAGATATTTATGGTGTTCTGAGTCATACTTTAGTTATCAGTATGCGCATCTGTTTCTACCACTTGATAGTGTGGTCCTTGAAAGGAGAGATTGTTTTACTAATCTCTGTAATAAAGTGCATATTTAGTGGATAAAGAACCATTATTGGCCAAGTAATGATAAGCTGCTTATCTCTATTTTTTAAAAAATAGGTATTCTGAGTCCTTCTCTGTTATCATACTATACAAATTGACAAATGTTTACCAAATATGGAGAATATGTCTGGGATGGCTATATTTATAATATAATCTATGTAGCAGACATGAGATTAACTTTGGAGAACTCTAGGAGTGGACACTACAAGAAAGACTCATTTTTCAGAACAGCAAAAACTATAATAAGAAACCCATATAATTGCCAATCAAGAAAAATATACCACATCCATTAAGATGATGAGGATAAGGAAACCAAAGAAACGAGTCCTAACTGAAAGTCACAAGGGTAGCTACTATGAATTTTAAGTACTGATTTGAATCAAGTTACATCTCAAAATGCAACTCTATGTAGTATGTTCAGGAGTGAGTAATAGCAGGAATCCATATGTAATGATTAATAAATACTCCTGAGCAACTCTGGGTAAGCCAGTTAGCACAGCATTGAAAGACTGGCTCTGAGGTAAAAGTGAGAAAAGAAAGCTATATAGGTTCTGGTCAATTTTTTTTTTTTGAGATGGAGTTTCGCTCTTGGTGCCCAGGCTGGAGTGAAATGGCATGATCTCAGCTCACTGCAACCTCTGCCTCCTAGGTTCGAGCGATCCTCCTGCCTCAGCCTCCCAAGTAGCTGGGATTACAGGCACCCACCACCATGCCCGGCTAATTTTTGTACTTTTAGTAGAGACGGGGTTTCACCATGTTGGCCAGGCTGGTCTCGAACTCCTGACCTCAGGTGATCCACCTGCCTTGGCCTCCCCAAGTTTATGGTCAATTTTAAAAATGCAAAAATGATTCTAATTATTTAAAAGTATTATTATACTGCAATCTATAAAGTACTCACTGAGATATTTCTAAAATCGCAGAAGCAATACAGTAGAAGACAGTACAGCTCTTAGCCTTTTTTCCTAAAAATTTTATATTCAAACTGTATAATGTTAGTTTTCATTGTAAATTTAATAGTTTTGCTAGAGCTTTAAAAGAGCAAAAGTTTACATAGAAACTTGAAAAATCTTTTTAAGTTGAGAGAGTTTAACTAAAAGAACATTTTTCTTAAAGCATTAAAACACAGAAATATATTTAATTAAAAATAAAACACATTTTAAATTCAACATAGAAGAAAAAGTTTTTAATGCCTTTATTTATTGATTGGGGGGTCAATCTTTTCTATAATTAAAATTTTAAATAAAAAAGCAAGATATAAGACTATCTATGAGGACTAAACTCTGATTTTTTTTTTATCTTGCCCAAATTCCTATCTGAGGGGTCTAGGAAGTCATGCCCTACAAACTATAAATTCTCATCGGATGTGTTTTATTTAACCCTATATATCATGACTTACTTTCCAACCTGACTCTGGCATAACATTACGAGACAAGGAAGAAAATCAAAATATTTTACCCCAAAACAAGTTTCTTTGCCATATCTTGAAATGGCCCTGCAAATCTGTCCTTTGTGGGGGAAAATCTGCATCTGCAAAGAATCCTATCAACATAGCTAGATCTTTTTGTTCCCGGCCAGTCCAATCCTGAAGAGGTTAACTAAGAGTCTAGTACCTTTTAAAGGTCTGAATAGGCAACAGTGTCATCTATTATCTCTAAGGGCAGCCACTGTAAGACTTCCAAAGAACCTTGGTCTCCACAATCTTTTATCTTAACCTGAACATTCCCTTTCTATGGATCTCAGGTCTTTAGACAAACTCAACCAATTGTCAACCAGAAAATGTTTAAATTTACCTATAGCCTGGAAACTTGTGCTCCCCGGCAACCCAGATTTGAGTTGTTCTGCCTTTCTGGACCAATCAATGTATTTCTTAAATGTATTTGATTGATGTCTCATGCCTCCCTAAAATGTATCAAACCAAGCTGTGCCCTGACCATCTTGGGCACATGTTCTCAGGACCTCCTGAGAGCTCACAGGCCATGGTCACTCATCTTTGGCTCAGAATAAATCTCTTCAGAGATTTTGGAGAGTTTGACTCTTTTCGCCAACATCTAGAAATGTTAGGCTTAGTCACCTGCTAAATAAGAATAGGGCACTTAAAACAGCTATATTTTAAAATCATCTAGAAATCCAACAGGGGCTACCTTTAACCAAATATTTTAAAGTGCCATTTTAAAGCTAAATCACATCAAAGTGAATTTCAAACAGGATCGTCACCACCACTGCTTTTTCATGATCCAGGCTTCAACTATTAGTCTTGCCTTATTTGTGTTCTAGTCTCCCCTTTTTGTCTTGCTGCTTGGCTTTTGACCACATATATTATTTACTAACTTTCACTCAGTTACAGAGAATGAAGATCAAAAGCTACAATGAGATGAACATTCCTTATTAATTACTATATATTATAAAGCTTTGATGGAAGAAGAGGTTGGGCCTAATGTCCCAAATAAGATTGTGGCACCAATCTTGTGAGTGTATCCATGTTGGCAGCCATTAGCAGAGAACACTGATTGCTAGCTGTAACTTACTTCTGTGTTTTATCTAACAATATGCATAATCCTAGCCTCCAACTCAAACTATACGAAGATTTAAAGACTGTTATTTTCTAAAACTGTAAGATTATTAAAGTGCAGGTTCATATAAATAGGAAGAACTGAGAGATATTTGTCATGAAAGATCTTCATTTCAGTATTGGGCAGTCTGTTTCCTACTACACTGCTACTCACCTTACTCCTTGTTCTGTAAATGGCACTGGTCCACAAATGCAGACAAGAACTTTGGATTTGTCCAAATTTCTTTTCAAAAATTCAGAAAGAAGAGCTGGTGAAATATGTCCCTGTTTGCCATTCCATTCAGAAATAGGTGCTGAGAGAACAAATTCAACATCCAGTCTACGGAAAAGAAAAACAGTTTTTTAAAGTTTATTATTTTAAACATATCATTAACATGTTTCAAGTTCAATAATATATTTCTCCCCTAAAGAATAATTTAATATATAAAGATTGATACACTTGCTAGAAAAACACTGAAAAAAATTATAAGATTTAACAAAAACATATAGGTAAATCTATATTTGCTAAGGATTAGCTTTTCCTATACAGTAAGGAATGTAATTTGGCATTTTTTTTTAAGTTGAACTAAGTAACCAAGCATGGTAGCTCACACCTGTAATCCTAGCATGTTGGGAGGCCACGGCGGGAGGACTGTTTGAGAACAGGAGTTTGAGATCAGCCCGGGCAACACAGTGAGACCTAGTTTCTACAAAAAACAAACAAACAAAAAAACAGAAAACCCCCCCAAAAAACAAAAACAACTGTTTAAACTTAGCCAGGTGTGGTGGTATGTGCCTATGGTCCTAGCTATTTGAGAAGCTGAGGCAGGAGGATCGTTTGATCCAGTGAGCTATGATTGCACCAGCCTGGGCGACAGAGCAAGAACCTGTCTCTTAAAAAAGAAATTAATTAAAAATAAATATATAAATGAAATAGAGATTTCAAGGGATCTCAGAGAACTCCACATTTCTATTAATAATTTACTGGTATTGAAAAAAAAAAGAACAAATATTGCATGTTCTCACTTATAAGTGGAGCTAAACCCTGTGTATCCAAGAACATAAAGATGAGAACAATAGACACTGGGGACTCCAAACGGAGGGAGGTGTAGGGAAAGGGGCAAGGGCTGAAAAACCTCCTAGTGTGTACTATGTTCACTGTCTAGGTGACAGGATCAACAGAAATCCAAATTTCAGCATCACACAATATATCCTTGAAACAAATCCGCACATTTACCCCGAACCCAAAATAAACAATAATAATATGCTGGTATAAATCACAGTAAATAGCAATTACCAGTGACACATGTATTTTAATCTCTGGCTCAAAGCTCTTCAATGATTTCCAGACCCTTACAACCAGTTTGATTAAGAAGCCTATTTGACTTCTTACTGTCACTGTCTCAAAGGCCCTCAGCCTCAACCTCAACCTCATGATCTCTGTAACTGGCACCACAGTCTGCTTGGTTTTACAAGCCAGAAACCTGGGATTTATCCTGGGAACCTCTCTCTATCTCACCCTCCATATCCAATTCATCACCAAGTCTTGCTCTAACTCTGTTTACCTCTTAGCCTTCACTGCCATAACACTGCCTATTCTCTTTCTTCTTTCTGTAATGATATTACCACTCCCATTCTTCAGTTTTCAGCTCAAGCATCAGGGAATCCACAGGGAAGTATTGCACCTCCACAAGGCTGAGGTCCTTTGTTTCATGTGTTGTAGCAATGTTTTCTTTTTCCTTTTCTTCATAGCCATTTACTTCAGATTTTAAATATGTTGTCACTAAGCTGATTACCTATTGTCTACCTTCTCCAATAGACTCTAAACTCCATGAGAACAGGGACCATGTCTGCTTTGGCTATCACTGTATCCCTAACACACAGGAGGTACCCACATACTACGGAATGAAAAAGATGAAAGCAAAAGGGTACAGGATTAAAACAAAGTCTCACAATGTAACAACAGACCATTTCTTCCCATGGGCTTAGTAATCTGTTATACAAATTGCTGGTGAAAAGCCACAGTAAATTCAGAATTCTATGTTGTACCTGCTCTGTCTGCTCTGTTTTAGCAAACAAAACTAATTCTTACCATTTCAATAGCATCAAATTGAAAGCAGTTCTACATGTTCCAGTGAGTAACTGAGTAGCAGGAATTCATGATACATTAATTTAAACCACATGAAAAAGCTGAAGTGAACAGTTTCTCTTATGAGGGGACAAAGGAAGTAAATATGAAAACAGAAACAAGGTATGGCTGGTACAGCTGCCCTCACATCGCTGTGCCTCAGCTGGATTAAGTTTCCCAAGAACTAAGGAGCCTGGCACAACACAAGCAGCACAGACCAAATAAGAGACCAAATAAGAGCAGCAGCAGAGGGCGAGAGAACCAGCCTCAGCTCTCCACACAGACTCCAGCCTCTAGGTCTTGTCCATTTGTGGAATGAGGTTGGGAAATGAGTCATCTCTTACATTTCTAATATTCTTTGATTTTATATTAAAAACACCTACAGGACTATGTTTTATTTCTTATCTTCAAGCTTCCCATTTAGTATCAGCAACAACGCTAATCCACTCTATAGCCTCCCCAAAGGCTAATCCACAAAATAGCCTCCCCAAAGATACTCGCTATTTTTACCTTGCAAGCATTTAAAACTAAGAGTTTTAAATAACCTCAGGATGTGATATTTGCTTACTGCTTCATGAGGGCAAGGTCCTTGTCTGTCTTGTTCAATACTGTATCCAGGCTTTGCTCAATAAAGTACACAAAAAAAATGCCTTTTGAATAAAGAAATGTATTTACAAAGAGGCCATGTTGGCTAAAAATAAAAATTGTACTTAAAAGAACAAAGCCATGTGCTGGCATCCATAAAATTACATATAAAAATGTATGTGAATTCATAAGTGTGTTTTTCTGGAAAAAAAAATCATAATCTTTCTTTCATCAGATCAAAGGGCCAAAAGCAGCCATAAAACCACTGTCTTAAATTTCCAATTATACATAGATACTTGAATAAAATGTGGAAACTGTTCTGTTAAATTAAAGGATAAAAGATACTCTCCTGTGGCTCTATTTCAAATGAGCCTATAACTGGAATAAAACTGCTAAATTAATACTGAAGTTTCTGTAGTCTGCCACAAGTACCTGGTCATAATTTCCCTCACTGGGATGCTTTATAAAAAAGCCTAATCAGTGATATATTTTCTGCAGGTATACACTAAATGGTGAGAAATAACAGATCCTTACATAAACGGTATAAACTTCTCATGTATTTTGTATTTATTCATATAATGGTCCCTTGACTATAATTTATGCAATCAATGGAAAAGGTGAACAGAAATAACGGCTGCAATTTAAGGATATTGTAAAGAGGCTGTTATCCTGCTTATCTCCTTTTCATAGGCTGAGAAAAGAGCTTAATCTGGAACAGGAGCATTCCCAAGTTAAGACTCAATAATTCTTTAATGAAAGATTTTTTTATATCAAAATATAGATAATTCCTGTGGAATCCTCTCTCCTGGCTTTTCTGAATGAAGGTCAACTTACTGTCTAAAGTAATTACAGCTTTGAGATGCTAGAGACAAGTGAGGGCACACAGTAAACATCCTGAAATTCCTCTATAATTTCAAAAGTGCCAAAAGGGGTTGGGACTCTTGAAGAGGTTACCTGAAAATAAATTCAGATTAACTCATAAAATACAAACTAATATGAAAGAGGGAGAGAACAGACCTGCTTCTGATGAGTGCCTATGCGATCTTAAATGTCAGTCTAAGTAAGCTTGTCAAAAAATTTATTTTAAGGTAGGCTGACAGTGATTTGAAATGACAAGTCTTGAAATACAAATGTATTCATTTAGTCTAAATCATTAGCAGTCATCCAACGACTTATTCCTTCCTCCTCTAGCCAATCAGCTTCAACAACTTACCTCCTTCATATTTCTCACACAAAGTCCCTTACCTTCCCATTTTTAATGTCACAACTCCAGATCAGGTTCTTATATCTCTTCTCTAAAATATTACATTAACAGCCTTAGCTCTTAATCTATTTGATATACCATTGCCATATTAGTTCCCCTAAAAATCCTGATACAACTTTGCAACCTTTTTGCTTAAAAGCTTCAGTGATTCCTCACTGCCCACAGATTAGTATTTCAGCTTTTCCTATTTTTTTTTTTTTTCTAGCTAAAGAAAATGTCTGCAACTGTAGTAAAAATTGCTATGTGCTCACAGGAAAAAAATCTCACAAAACTAGGAATCAAAATTAGATAAAACATATATAATTATGGAAACATTTTTAAAAATGAATCTAATGAAAGGAAACACTAGTATGCCTCCAGATGTTAGCAGTTATTCCATGAAAGCAGGCTAACTATCAAATAAATCTGTGACATACTGGGTTCAAAAAAGTTAAATATATTTCCTTAGAATTTCAGAAAGCCTTCAGTATGCTAAGTTCAGAGTAAATCTTCAAGAAGGCATAGACTATTTCCCAAATGTATTCAATCATCGAGTCCATTCTGGGGAATACATTAACATTTCAAAGCACATATTCCAAGCAACACAACATCTGAGGAACATCTCCTGGAAGAAACCGAAAGTGCTATAAGGTTCCAGATTAGTGGGCTGCCTATCTGGGTACAGAAGAGGTTAGGGAAAAAGAAACAGTTTCAGGTATCCTCTTTCATTTACTTCTGCTTCTGGCATCATCAGCTTAAATGGAACTGCCATATTGCTAGCCCCAATACTGACATCAGAAGACAAAAACATATAGTTCACAGAGCCTGTCAGCACTACAGGGAGATGAGCCGCAGTGTCACTGTGCCTTCTTCCTGTGTCTATCTGATATATAATATTTACTTCACATATGGATTACATTCAAGGTCTTTCATCACCTGATTTTAGCCTAGCTTGTTTCCTCAACTGTAAACAAAAAGGATCAGAAATGATAACTATGAAGATTCCTTCTAAAACTGATATAAGGTTTAATGGGTTTATTTTCAGTTATTCTGCATCATTCTCCTTCATGCACAGTATTTATTTCAAAAAAACGACTCTACTCTGTTATTAAAACACTAGAATATACTGGCCCTCATGTCTTATGCAATCCCACTACCCAAATTTATTTTCCCACTCAAAGAAATGCTAATCATTTCCCAAAGCCCAGCTCAAAAGCCCCTTCTTCCATGAAGCTCTGATATTCCTACCCTCACAAAAATGGAATAAAATTCTTTTCACTAGATAGCTATGGTATGTTTTTTGTTCCTCTCAAGGCACAGACTTTAAAGTCACTGATGTACTTTAGAACTTCACCACCACTAGGGTAGTCTTACTGATTTCTTA